TAGATAGATAGATAGATAGATAGATAGATAGATAGATAGATAGATAGATAGATAGATAGATAGATAGATAGATAGATAGATAGATAGATAGATATTTTATTGATCCCACAGGGGAAACTGTTGTGTTACAGCAGTAGGAAAAAGAATAAAAATAATCAAGTCTACAATAAAACACAAATAAACAACAAAATTAAAGTAAAAAAAACACCACAGGTGTCTAGTAAAGGGTTTATACTATGAGATGTATTTATACAGCACTGATAAAAACAAAACAAAACAAAGAAAAGTAAAAAATGAAGTTATTCTTACTTTGACTGTGTTTTAACTGACATTGTGTGAGAGTATAGTGCAAATTGCAATTAATAAATAATATTTACACTATGAATCTAAGAAAAAGAAAAACAACTGCAGAATGAAGAGTAATAATACACCTTTATAGAGAACATTGGGAATGGTCTCCTGACGCCTTCTTCATGGCATCAGAGTTGATTCAGTCTGAGGTAGAAGTGCCTCTGCTGCCTCTGAGGTGTGGAGTGGAGCAGGTGAGATGTTCTGTCCATGATGGAGAGCAGTTTGTTCAGTGACCTCCTGTCCTCCACTGACTCAAAAGAAAAAAATCTAATTCTGAAAATCCCAGTAGATCAGCGATGCCTGAAAGATTCAAACCAGCCCATCTGGCACCCACAACCACACCTTCAAGGTCACTTAAATCACCTTTCTCGTGATTGGCTGATTAGATATTTTTGTGAACGAGTGGTTGATAATTTTATATAATAAACTGGCCAGTCAGTGTATATAAAAGTTATATATTAGATATTTGTTTTTAAAGATTCAAATCTTCCTTCTTCCTAATGGACAAGTAAACTTCCCATCGCCCCATCTGCCGGAGAGATTAGAAGTAGAGAGTCGAGCAACAGAATCACAAATTCACTTTGTTCTTTTGTGAAAGTATTTGAACATTGGAAATAGAAACAGCGTTATTCTTTGATTAATTATGTAGTATCCAAATTCAAATTCAAATTTTATTTGTCACGTACACAGTCATACACAGTACGATATGTAGTGAAATGCTTGGACA